ATTATTATTATTATTATTATTATTATTATTATTATTATTATTATTATTATATTTTCTTATTTTATTTTTATTTATCTATTTATTTAATTAATAATTCAGCTTCCTCAGCTGAAACGAGCAGAAAATGGCTTCTTCTCAGCATCTTCCCCATTTATTCGTCTGGTTCTTATCCGGTGAGCAGCTGGAGGCCTGCAGGTGTCTCCAGGTGAGCTCACCTGTCGGAGCAGCGTCCTCGTCTTCTCCTATTATTTTTATTTAATTATTTATTTGATTGATAGTTCGGTTCGGCTTTTAGTCAACATTTCCTGTATTTAAGACATTTAAATAGGGCCACATTTAAAACAACAAAAAGCATTAAATTTTCATTTGATCATTATTATGATCTTTTTTTCAAATATAATTTAATTAGTATTTGTTTATTATATAATCATTATCATTTTATTATCTTACCATTAATATTTTCTATTATTTTATTATATTATCAATGATATTTATAATTTTATTATCCTATTTTACTTTTCATTTATCTCATTATTTTATCAACTCATTGACTGCCAAAGACGTCTATAGAGGTCTTTTATGTTTTTCAGCGAGAGTGGCTGGGGGACGATCTGCTAAAGCTAGTCCGTAAATATGGGCTTCTAGACAGAGTATGTAGTAAAAAATTGACCCTGTAGGGGGCAGTGCCACTTTTGATGGGAGATGAGCATAGACTGTAGGCAAATAAGAAAAAGGTAATGGTTCTATGAGAGAACATGTCGCCGGTGAGACACAAGTCCAGGAAGAACGGAATAAGGTAGAAACACATTTTTTTTCCTGATGAAAGAAGAGAGTCTACTCTTTCTTTTGGTGTGTTCGGTGTTTACATAGTCATAGCACAAACTATTCTGTGGCTCTTGAAAAATCAGTCAAAATGCTCAAAAAACTCTGGCAGAATGGGACTCTGTTCTGAAAATGGCTGCCAGTCAATGAGTAAATAATTCAGCTCCGGCAGCTGAAACCGAGCAGAAAATGGCTTCTACTCCTTGTTTATTCGTCTGGTTCTTATCCGGTGAGCAGCTGGAGGCCTGCAGGTGTCTCCAGGTGTGTCCAGGTGTCTCCAGGTGTCTCCAGGTGTGTCCAGGTGTGTCCAGGTGTGTCCAGGTGTGTCCAGGTGTGTCCAGGTGACTCACCTGGCGCAGCAGCGTCCTCCTCTTCTCCTCGGCCGCCTCCTCTCGGTTCTGCAGCTCCCGTTGGTGCGCGGCCCTCTCGGCCTGGCCGTTCACCTCCAGACGCAGCCGCGCGTCCTCGGACGCCTGCAGCTCGTCCTCCAGCTCCTCCAGCTGCGCCCGCGCCTCCTCCAGCCCCGCCTCCAGCCCGCGCCTCACCTTCTCCAGCTCGTGGACCTGGGAGAGGGTCAGA